ATATATAATGTTATATATTATTATATTTCCTAATGAAGTCTACCTAATGTTTTCACAATGTCTTTTATTCAAAAAATTTGAGCAGGACTCAGATGTCCTCCTGAAGAAAACATCTCTAACGACATTTATTCAACCTCTGCCAGATTTAATAAAAGTATTAATTAAAACAGTTAATTTTAAATATAAATACAAGAACAGCCTTCCTTCTTGGAGGGTTGGATTCAGATAGAACTAGGCAATGACATCTTTATAGGAGATCTTCAATATTCAACAGGCAAACAGAGGCAAAATTATTAGTGAAAATAATTTAGCACAGAAGTTGTGACCTTCCTTCCTTCTCTTCCTTGTTGCTAAGTTAGCTTGATACTCTTCTGAAAGGGACTGCACAGCCCTCTAATGAGCAAGTGGGAGTCCAAGGAAAATGGCAGACTTTTTAAAGCTATTTCCTCTTTTTCTTCAGGACAAATACACTTATCTGTTCTATTTGCAATTCCTAGTGAAATTATGAGACTTGGGGACACATAGGCAAAGTGAATTTGAACAAATCATACTTGCATTAACTATGCAACAGCTCATATAATCAATGTATTATTTTGTGGAGAGGTCTTGCTTGGCTGGTATTGCAGCACCGTTCACCATGTCATTTCCTAGCCTTATAACCATCAATTATTAGAGAAAAATAATGCAGTGCTATTCCAGACATCCAATGGTACTCACTGGCACAATCGAAGCCACTTCCTCGGTAGCCCTGTTTACACTTGCACTTGAAGGATCCTTCAGTGTTGAGGCACTCTGCGTGGAGGTTACACCTGTGTGTATTTGTCACACATAGGGAAAGATATAAATGCTTCAGTGAAAACTGCACTGCAATCTGAGCTTCATGACAACCTGTTTATGCTGGCCATCTGTTTCCAGGTATGGTAAGTGCTCGTGTTAGAGCAAGACAGTTCAGAGACCATCAGAGGCAGAAGAACTCACACCAGGAGAGAATGCTTAAAGTCAGCTCCAACTGCACAAGTACTGCCATAGGCATCCATAGAAAATCTAGAGCACCCCAAAAAAGATAAAGCGAACACAGTGCTTTTCTGACAGAACAAACTGTAGGTTGTACACACTCTTCCATTAACAAAATGCAAAAGACGTCAATTAAAAAACAGTTCACCAAACCCTTCTCATTCTTTCATTCCCTCTAGAAGAAATGCAATGGAAAATAAACCTGAGCATGCCAAGATGCTGAGATTTTCTATCTAACATTCCAGCATACATATGATGCTGTACAAAAAAAGTATAATCAGGAAAAATTCAGTAGAAAATACTATATTCAACTGACATCAAAATGTACAGGCATCAAGAGTAATCAGTTTTGTTCTCCTTTTCCCTTATTTTGCTATATCACAAAGATGCTTCTGATTTCTCCCACATGAGGGAGCCAAGTTGGTGCACAAATTTTTGCACCACTTGCATTTTATCCAGATTGCTTCCATTTTTAGCAGCTGACAGGTCCTCTCATAATCTAAGTTGGTAGGAGACAGTATCAGACTGACTCAAAAATATAGTATGTCTGAGAGTAACATTCAGACGACTGTGGCCTCTCCAGTTTTTCCTGCATGCACACATATTGTAGGAAAAAGTAAGTACTTTTTCCACATTAAGATTCTCGGGGTTTGCTTACAAGAGCAAATGCAAACTTGAGTCTCCAAACCTTGCCTTATAATCTCCCTCCCTCCCCTAACTCCCAAGACCAAGAAAACATAAACAAAACCCATGAATTCTCTTTTGTATGCACTTCCTGTACGAGCTCCAACCCTTCCACACCCTCATGTTGTCAACTCCTTGAACAATACCACTGCAGTGCCCGCTGCAGTAACTTGCATTTTGCTGTTCCACCACTGAGCTAATGGACTGAAACAGGAGTAAAGGTGTTTTGACATTTGTTTTAACACCTGGGCATGTCTAGATAACTTTTTGCCTGTATTTATTTTTGTTTGGGAAAAACTCAGGCATGCAAGAGAGACCTGGAAAGTAATTAAAACCTACTATTTTCATACTTCTTTAAAAAATAGTTCTGTACTGTTCATCCAAACAACTGTTTTGACAGTCATGAAGGCACTTGATTCACATTCCTCATTAATGCCACAAAAAAAAAAAAAGAAAAGTATTGTGGAACTCCTTGTTCATCACAGGTTGAAAGCCAAGAGGACAAAAAATGGCTCTTTTAACTAAATCTGTACTAGAAATGGCACTTCTTTGCAGTCAAATGTTGCTAACTTCCTCCAAGCCCTTGCACATCTTGCCTTGGTACATTGAGGCAATTTAATGTGCAAGTGCCATTTTTTCATAAGGCCACAGAGAAAACCCAGCTTGAAATTCAAAGCGTCATCAAGCATATTTTTAGTGTGACAACTTTTAACCATTTCTGAGGCAGTATCCCCAGACCAGGCCAACATGCTTCAGTCAGTGACAGTGAAGAGGCACAGTGTGGCAATGAAAAGAATGAAGAAGGAAAATTCATGGGCTAAATCTTACCTACACAGTCATAACGGCCGCTGATGTATTTCAGTTCATAACCAAACTGGCACTTGCAGTAGTAGCTTCCAAATGTGTTGACGCATCTGCGGTTGTAAGAGCAGACAGCTTTGCCAGTGGAACATTCATCGATGTCTGAAGCAGGAGAAGGGATGCTGGTCAGATCCATAAGAAGGTAAAACGGGAAAGCACCAACTAGTTGGGATTTGCACAGGAATGGTTCAGTTTTGGCTATTACAAGCTGTTTAACAAGTAAGTCCTATGATTTCACACTTGGGGATGGCTTTTACATATGCTCATATGAATGAAGCAGCAAAATGTGAACTGGCTTTATGGAAGATTTTGACACCTCTCACAGTAAAAGCTGAGGTAACTCATAGTGGGGACAATGATTTGCCCTAAGGTCATGAAGCAGGGGCAGGAGGTACTCCACAAATTCCATCACTTCCCTGAGAAAGGAAATGTCAGAGAATAGTTGAAGAGAAAGCCCCAGAAACAGGAAACCGAGAGCAGCAGCAGCTCTTCTACTTAATCTCTGCACCTCCCTTTGCTGGATGGGGAGAGAATTTCCAGACTGAGTCGTCTGCCCAGCAAGGTAGAAGACAGGGACAGATGTTTTGGAGAGAGGAGGAGGAAGCTTGGTATGGGAGAAACCTAAGAACATTATTCAACAACCATTGTAATTAAATGTTAGTAATTTGTTTTGCTGTAACACCAAATTTAAGATAGTGCCCATTACGATAGTTGGCATTTGTCCTTCACTATCACATTTTAGCAGAGAGCAGTAACTTTGCACGTCATCCATCATGCCATGCTGCTGCCCTTTACAGCTTAGAACTACTGTGAAGTGCTTCTGGACACCACAGTCAGTCTTTCTATCATTTCTACCATTCTTTTACAGAGCTCAGGGGATCACAGAATCATAGAATCCTTTGCCTATGCACACATCAAAGAGGAGAAGGGAAGCACATCAATATGCTGCTCTGCAGGTGCAGCAATAACGCAACTTCTTAGGAGGATTAAGCTGAGATTAATAGCAAGGATCTTCAAATGCTTATCTGTTTATAGTCCTTCTGTCACTAATACCAGAGTATTAGAGAATCTTATAATACATTAATACTATGCTATACAGCAGGAAGATGCCTTCCCATTTTAGATATGGACATACCACAAGCCATGCAGAAAGAAGGGTCTAGTATTTCCAACCACTGGACGCACTTTTTTGTCTATGTTATCTTCTATCATATATATCAACATTAATCCAAACTCATTTGAGGGGGCAAGGTAAATAAAAATAAACTCAATACAAAAGAACAAAAATAGTTGTCTGAAAAATTCAAGGGATTTAAGAGAACCATTTGTCTACTGTCTACGTATGTCTACAATGTTTGCCTTCACATAGTTCTTAAATAATTTGAACAAATGTTAAAAATGTGACTGGTGGTTGTCCAAGAGCCCTGCTAATTACTCAAAGCAGGACAGTTGCAATTACAAACTCATTTCATTTGAAAGAATGAAATACTATTCTCATGTTGGAGTCTTCATAGTTTGGAAGTTGAGCCAAGTATCCATATGGGTTTATTTGATAGTTCCTAAAGGTGGTAAAGTAGTCCCAGTCCATTCAACCCTCGAATGTGACTTGTGTGACTTGATATTACAGTTGTGTGTTAAAGAAAACAATTCAGTAACTGTCCTTCTGTACAGCAGTGTCTCTTGGTTGATACATTTACTTAATCTTTTGTTTGACATGTTAAGTATACTAATGTTTTGGCCATTGGAGCTATTGTTTTTTAATGTTTGAATGTTGAACATCTCAACATCTAAAACATTCTTTAAGCTGTAGAAATCATTCAGCCGGCATGTGTTGGTAAGCAGCAGCTGAAATAGATTAGCTACTGTTCTTCTTTGTCTGTAAGGTATTATGTCCAAGCTGTCCTTTATGATCTGAAGGATCTGCACCATTTTCATGGAAAAATAACGTAAAATATGTAAAATCCTCAATATTATTAGGTATGCTGCTAAAGACATTTTAGTAAATAGCACTTGTCACAAAAAGTTTTTTTCACAGAATCAAAGAATGGTTGAGGTTGGGAGGGAGCTCTAGAGGTCATCTGGTCCAACCCCCTGCTCAAGCAGGGACACCTACAGATGGCTGTCCTGCTCCTGCTACTCCCTGACACGCACTTTACTGCCCCTTCTCCTCTAGTTTCTGGAGCATCCCCTGCTTTGGAGAGTTTGTTTCATGTCTATTGGGTTCTGAAAGGAGCTCATTTAACTTCAATATTAAAACAGGTATGGTTTCAGCATTGGATTACAATGCTGTAGCACTGCTTTGTCAGATGACAATGTAAACATGCCCGAGGACATTACCAAGTGCTGTAAGCATGCTTCCCTTATCACAGGAAACTCCCAGTTCAAGTGATGTTGAGGATTCTGGAGTAAAATCTAGAAGTTTGTACTGTGGATCATCACAATAAAAGAAAACTCCATCCAAACCCAACACCCAGATCCTGTAACACATTATGTCAGTAGGACAGCTTCCTGTAGGCAAAGCATTTTATTTAATGGCATCACAGTCATAGGGAGAAACTGGATCTGTTAAGGACTCTAAATCATGTCAAAATAAAAATATTCAATTATTTTTTAGGGATGAGACTTGGTCTGAGAATTATTGGACCAGCATTACAAGCACAGTTATAAAAAAACCCACGCAAACTCTACATCACACTGCAAGTAACAAGAAGCATTAGTCAAGCCAGTGGCAAGGGCTAGAACTACTTCTTAAACTTTTCCCAGAATCTTAAGGCTTTTGGGGATCCTATAGAAAAGAAGCTGAGAGTGAGCTCTCTAACCATACCAATGCATGTCCTGCCATTTGGTCCCAGCTGAAGGCCACTTGATGGACACAGGCACTGCACCTCCCCGTTGCCTTCTTCACATCCATATTGGCAATTCGCCATGGCACATGTCCTAGAACCTGAAAAAAGTATTTAAAATAACAAAAAGAGTAAAATTCTAGGAATGAAGAGCAAAATTCTAGGATCTAACTTGAAGTTAGATCTGGATGAAAGCAGAAAATTAAAGAGAACAACAAAATTCCATACATCATAAATCAAGTTGTCTATATATTATCACATTAGCAATTCAGGAGTCCAAGAGAGATCTTACACTCCCCTTGCTTTCTTCTCTCCTCACCTGCCCTTATTCCTCCTTTTTTTCTGATCCCAGTTCTGCGACTTCTTACTACTACTTTTTAGATTCAGAGACAGAAGTGCTCCAAGTAGAAAAAAGGCAGTTTTCACATTTTCCATTGAAATGGTTTTATTTTACAGAAAAGTGCTATTCATAAGTGAAATGTTTTTAGTTTTTACCATTAAATATGCTCCTAGTATAGAACTTGATTTTTAAAACTCTTTAGCCTGATGAACTTAGAAACTGCCCTGTATGTTGACCCTTTATGGACAGATACCTGAATCTAACAAGGCACTAGTCAGAACACAAGCCTTGGTCACTGTAGTTTGGTTAGGAGCCTGAATTATTTGAGATGATTTTGATTAGCCAATAAGTAGAAATGTAGGCATCTAGATCCTGTCTGAGAGACCTATCCAAGACTAGAAAATTAGGAGAAATGTTGACGTACTCTGCTCTTGTGAGACTTCACCTGGAGTACTGCACCCAACTCTAGAGCTCCCAACATAAGAAGGACATGGACCTGTTGGAGCGGGTCCACAGAAGGGACATGAAGATGATCAGAGGGCTGGAGCACCTCTCCTATGATGACAAGCTGAGAGAGCTGGGGTTGTTCAGCCTGGAGAAGAGTAGGCTCCGTGGAGACCTTTTAGCAGCCTTCCACTACCTGAAGGGGACCTACATGAAAACTGGGAAAGGAGGGCTTACAAGGGTGTATAGCTAGAGGACTAGGGACAATGGTTTTAAACTAGAGCAAGGTAGATTTAGATCAGACATTAGTAAGAAATTCTCTCCTGTGATGGTGGTGAGGCACTGGAACAGGTTGCCAAGAGAAGTTGCTTCATCCCGGGTCAAAGGCCGGGCTGGATGGGGCTTTGAGCACCCTGGTCTAGTGGGAAGTGTCCCTGCCTATGGCAGGGGGGTTGGAAACAGATGATTTTTAAAGTCCCTTCCAAACAAAACCGTTCTATGATTCTATGATTAAGTATGCAGGGAAATATTTCTAAAATCTTGAAGATATCCAGGAAGCATTAATGTTATGATGCCAGGGAGAGAAGCAGTATTTAGAAGTGTTTACTGGAACAGATGGAGGTGTGTGCAAAGAAAGTATTTCCAGCTACTTCACTCTGCTTGTGTTCAGAGAAAAGACTGTATACAGGTTCTTTTTGAGTAGAAAGCCTGGAACAGCTGTCAGTTTATTAGAGAGAGAAACCAACTGCAAGAATACGAAACTGTCTCAGTGCTTAGGTAGAAAAATATATGAATTTTATTTTTAAATGCAACGTTTGTAGTCAGAGGTACCAGCACTTTCAGAATGGTGCTTAAAAACAGTGTATAGAAAAGGCAATGAGGTGCATATGCAGCTACAGCTTTGGCTTTGTTGCAGATAAGCCTGACAGCTCAGGTGGACTTCATCTCACTGAGGAGACTTACATCATAGTGAATCTGATTCAAAAGGAACAACGATATGCTCAAAATGTTGAATAAAATGATGAGCATTATACAGTTGGTTAAATAACCTAGCATTTCATCTGAGCGCAAGCTTAAGTTAGCATCAAGTGCAATGGGAGGCTACTAAACTTGAGAAAATAATTTACTACTTCATTTCATAACCATAGTTTCTGCTTAAGAAAATAAGCAGTTCTTCAGAACTGAGAGGTGGCTAAAGGTTGAGTTAATGAAGCACAAGTTAGATGAACATTTTTTGCCTCCTTAACTAGAGCTGTGAAGAATAAAGACTTCCCTTCTATGGGAAACCTGGTTTTCCCCCTGAAATTTGGTTTCACTCTGTGTCAGTATTTGTAGGGGTTCCACTGTGAAATAATGTTTCCATGTGCCAAATTGAAATGCAAGCTTCAGGGCTCACAGCTGCTCAAGCAACTTTTTCGTATATACTCAACACTGGCCACCACTGCCACTGAGAAATTCAGCGCTTTGTGCTGACTTAAACAAGAGATGATGCAACTGCACATTTGATACAGATTTGGTACAAATGCAGTTTCTTAAATCAGGAAACAAGTCCTGAACTAAGACTGGCATAAAATTAATGCAGCAGAAATATTGTTACAGTCTGGATCTGATTTTCTAACTTGGTTCAGAACCACAGCTGCAGGAAGCGTTTGTGCTCAGAGGGGCAAGAGTGAGGGAGGATGAGGACAAAGCTGCTGCTGGGCTCCAAGGGTAGTTCCTTTTGGCTGTAGTTCTGGCTTCTGCCAACTTCAGCTGCCCATAACACAATGGCCTTACTGAAAACTGCTTGGCATACGATGTCAGCAGTACACAAATTATCTTGGATGAAACAGAAGGAATATATATATCAATTTCTCAGGGATCTCAGGGCCCTGCAGCTGTTATCTGCCGCAGAAACACACCGTACTTAGTAATGCAGAGGCCCAAACCTGAGCTGTGATGCAGGGTAAGGAAACCTCCAAAAGTTCCATCCCCAGGTGTCTTTCACAGCAACTTCAGTCTCCCTGCCAAGACAGAGAGTAGGAGCTCTGTCTTTCTTACTTGCCCCAGGGCTTCAGCCCCTGCACTCCTGTGAGCATTTGCCAAAGCTGGGTATTTTTCCAGTTATCCCAGGCTGCCAGCAAATCTTGCCCCATGGACACCCTGCCTGGTGAATGGTTGTCTCCAAAGTTCAGAGATCAAAAGCTTTCAGAGTCCATGGTTTTCTGTCATATCTATGGGACAGATTGTGCTGTGGCCCATACAGCTGGGTCCATTGGTTTAGGACAGATCTTTCAAGCAGATGCTCCAGTGTTGAGACCATCTAGCTTCCTTGTCCAACTGATGCATCTGCTCCAGTCTAGTGGACTCCATAAAGGGCTGTCACTACAATACTTAGGCTTTTAAGAAATTCAAAGCCAAAACACCTACATGGAACAGCTCAGGTGATAAAAAAGATTATTTTCTGCAAGCAAAACGGTGTCATTGAAAAATAAGAAGCTTCCTCAGGTCTGAAGAATCAAGTTGGCTAGGAAAGCAGAATGTTTGCATTTACATGCTGGCTTAAAGACAAAGAAAACAGGTAGAAATACAGTTGCATTGAGCCTTAGCTCAATGAACAAGTATTTGCAAGAAGCTAGCAGCAACACACAGATAAATTAGGGAGCACAGAAAGGTAAAGCAGGGAATAATGGCATGAAACTCAGCACAGTAAAAAGTCATCTGTATTTGTGCTTTGCTTGGATAGATTCATTCATCCATATTCAACAGATGAATTAACAGGACGGTGCACCAAGGTTCTACTAGCCTTCCTTCAACTGAAGTAATGCTATCAAAGATTTTTACTGCTAGCAGGACAAAAATTCCCCTGAACGCCAAAATACAAGTATGACCTAGTTTACTTTATGCAGGTACTGCTAAACAGAAGGCCTCTTTCAGCTGCTCGCAGTACCAGAAAGCTGAGGCAAAGACCCTATCCTGCGTAAGCTAAATCCACTCACCACAGGAAGAAAAACCTGCTGGGATCAAATGTGATTAGATGATTTCAGTGTGCTCGTCCTATCAGCTCTGTTACTTACTTGCACATGTGCCGTCTGGCACAAGCATGTACCCGCTGAGACAATAGCACTTGTAGCTGCCATGTGTGTTCATACATCTGTGTTCACAGGGACGTGGTTTCAGTCCACATTCGTTCAGATCTGCAGAAGTCATTGAAATGAAGTGAGTGCTGGGTCTGCATACATATATTTGTACATATTCGTGGAGAGTATTGTCTAATGGCTTGAATTCCCCACAGTAAAATCATCTGGATTGAAAATGAGCCAGATCCTTGCAAGATGAGAGTTTAGCAATCCAACTGGCTGCAAGACTGCTAGCAAAACTAACATACGCATGCTTCTACATCTGAAAAACTAATGCAAATTCTGGCCACATCTGGCAGCTTGTTAGGAAGAGGTGGAGGGGTGGGGAGAGAATTGCAGTTAGTCTCTTTTCTGGGAGTTATTCAGCTGGACTTCCCTAATTCTAGCTGGAGATTTTAGCCCTCCAGTTGACCTCTGCATTAGAAAGGCAAAAACATGAGACAAAGAACAGCAAATCAGCTTGAGATAAAGCGAAATCAAGATTTACTTATTTTTTCTGAGCTACACATTGGCACTAAGGTTATCAGTAGTAGAAATGAAATACAAGATATGATAAGAATTACGTGAATTTAAGAATAAGAGGACAAATCTCAAAAATCTCAGAATCCTGAGAATAAAAGCATCCTAAAACCTTCTCAACATCCAGGATTTAAAAAGCTGTGCAGACTAAGTTAATTTTAAATTCACAATAGCTATCCTTCACAGGGAGAAAACTAGAATCCTAAAAAGTTTATGTGGTATAGGCAGAGCAGGGCTGACAACAGCATTGGTCTTCTGACAAAGGGAAAACATCTGTACTTATGACTTCTGTGAACTGACACCTCCACCTCTTGTATTTTGAAAACTGATTAGTAAACAGTAAGAACACATTAACAGAATGCACCAGCATATACAGCCCATTCAGCACGTGTTTAATGGTACGTATGACCAATAATATAATTTCAAAAAGATGCAACTCTCCAAGCAAGCACTGAGCTTGTGCTGCTCCACTTCTAATGGGAGAAGCATGTGTCCTCACGTCCATGCATGCTGCAGACCACAGGAAAAATTCCAGACCACTCAAAGCACAAACTTTGTGGAGGTTATACGTGTGCAGAACTGTTTGGTACAGCTCAGTCTAGGGAAGAAAAAGAGGACTGCATTCTATTATTTAATCACAGGGTCTGTTTGAAAAAGGAGAACCTATCAGCTTACAAATCACACTGGATTTTTGTGCTACTGTGGCTCCACTAAACAGCCAAGACTCTCTTAACAAAGAAACTAGGGAACAAAAGTTATTCCACTTAGATGATATATTTCAAAAGTGCTTAGCTGCACTTATCTTGCACAACACACAGTATCGCATAGATAACATACACAGCTCTAAAAGAGAACCTATGGAGATAAGGCTAATTTAGCTCAGGCTTAGTGGCAGACTAATACAGTTCCCTTATCTCTGTTATTTTAGTTAGCTCCTGTTGAGCCTGCTCAGCAGGGCATTCTGCTGTAAGGACACACCAAAGCTACATCTGCCAGTGAAATAAAAAAGGCTCTGAGCATTCCTGGCTGCTGGAACATGACCACTAGCCTACCCGGCTATACTATTGAAACAGGTTGGCGATATTTCTGGCCTGCGCCAGCCACCACTTTACTAAAAAATTCCTGGCCCTGCTTCAGAATGTAGAAGAGCCCAGGGAGCTAAGAGTCACTTTGAACTTGTAGGTCTGTGTGGTGCTTCCACCAAGCCTCAGACTCTGATTCGACTGCAAGTGTGCAAAACTGATGTGCCTGCCCACAGAGGGCACGTCAAATGCAGCTGGAGTTACTGCACAAAAAAAATAAATAAATAAAAGCTGGCGACTTCTCTGTTGCCTTTTGGTAACTTTCAAGCTGCCAAATCATTTTTGTGTTTCAGCTTCTGGGTTTAAAGGCTGAAGTTGTAAACGATACCTAAATATCTGTTATGTGCAACCATGGCTGCTGCTTCACTTGCCTCTCTAGTAGTATTGAGGAATTAACTTCTACCCCCTTGAGAAACATCAAAAGTGCAAAAGACGGAGTTCTCCAAAATATTTAACAGTATAACTTTACAGTATATTGTTTGAAAGATACTGCGTAATAAACAGGTCTGACTCTGAAAAACATGAGTGTGCTTAGTACGCCAATGCAATGTTTTCAAGGAAACATCCAACACAGGGATCTCATATATTGGAACAAGAAGAAAAAAGCTTGAGTTCTCACCAGTGTGTCAGCTGAAATATTTCCATGTCTAACTGCAAATTTACGGAGGGAAAGTAGTGCATTCAAATGTTCTGAATATGCAGTTCTAAAGACTCCAAATTGTGTTTCTCAGAAATACCAATCAGCGTATGCAAACAGACAGCATTTGCCCAGGCAGTTTGAGAAATTACATGTCCGGTATTTAATTGCATGTCTTTCTGATAGAAAGGTTTTTTAAGAAATTAAGATGGGTTGCTAGTTAAGAAAATAACATGGGTCACGGATTTGACATCCATCTCTTCCAATGATTTCCTATATTATCTCTCCATGCCTTAATCCTCTGACTATAAATATGACAATTTGCCTTTGTCATCAGCCTGCAGGACATATATGCCATAGTTCAAACTTCTGTGTGCTAAATGAGGCTTAGAGCTTGCCTGGGATGCTGGAAATGCAAGAGCCTTAAACTCTAAGCTCTTTTACATAAACAAGAAAATACCTTGTTTTACTATTCTGAAAGATGACACAATCCATTCTACAAGATAAGGAGACAGAACATCAACAGTCTACTTTCTGGAGTAATATCCCCATGTGCACAAACCTTGATTACAGGTTTTCCCTGTAAATCCAGGGAAACATTTGCACTTGTTTGGTCCCATGCACTCGCCGTACTTGCAGCCATGTCCACAGACAGCTGGCGGGGTCAGGCAGAGAAAGGAAAGAAAAAGAAAAAAGTTAGAAATACTATATTTGAGAACTTTTTGCCCTGCCTAGTTCCCTAAAAAGCTTGCAGCACAAGTTCAACATCCTCATACCTTTGCCTCCAGTTTGGGCATGGTATTTACATCAGAACTTTTTTTCTGCTTGAGAAAGGTGATACTAGCACGGATTACATGACTGTGTGCTTTTCCAGGTTTACCTGAAAAAGAAGAGACTTCTTCTAGCTCTCTCCCTCATGCTTTTTCTGCCATGCTTATGATTCACATTTAGTTTTGTATTCTTGCCTGTTTCCTATATTTAAGAAGCCTATGTGAGAAGCAGCCAGCTGGCAGCTCGACTTGCTACACTTAGCATCTTAAGTAGGAAAGAGGCAACAGCGCTCTGCTGAAGCCAGAGGAGACACACTGTCCTACAGCAGTTTTCCAGTCTTGGACCTCCTCAGTTACAACTGAGGAACATGTCCATCCCATGGTGGAACATCCAGAGCACATATTTCAGGCAACCATCCTTACCACACATCCCAATAACTATAACTATCAGGTTTACACTGATTTGAGAGGGCTATGCTGAGCCTGGATGCATTAAAAAGTAAACATTTTCTAACTCTCAGCTCTCTGGATCATCAGTCAGAAATGAAACACTGACTTTTATACAGCTTAAGGCTCCTAAAGCCAATGTGATTGGTGACATTAGAGTTATTCAGGAGAAGTAAACCAAACATGCAGTTAAATTGAGACTAGCTCTGGAAAAAAATCCCAAAAGAGCGTGCACCAGCATGTGCATCTCACTACCTTGTAAAACCTACTCCACTGGCTGATCAAGGTTACATTTGCCACTTGTCCCTCCAGGCAAATTTCTCATCAAAACTAAGGTGCTATTAAACAATGCAGAAATTAATTAATAAAGGTATTAATCACTTTTTTTTGTTTTTTAAACTGACATGCTCTATCTAGATAAGAAAGTCACTTTGACATCTTTCCCTTTTAGATACTGTTTTTTTTCATTTTCAGCAATGAATAACCCTAAGTCTCTGCTCAAACTCACCAGATGTACAATGCCAAACTCTCTGGGACAACAGGTGCAATATATGAAGAAGATTCCCAAAATATGTATTTTTTTTATTTTGTTATGTTTTGCCCCAGTACAGCTAGAGAGAGATTCCATGTCACTTTCTCCTTGGGCTCTGTAACCCTTTTACAAATGAGAAATGTGTTAAGAGTCACTGATTCTCCATTACGCCAGTCATCCACAGACCAGAACACTGGTTGGCTGCTCAAGCTCAAGTCCGGTGCACTTAATGCTTGGGTTTTATTTACATTTTCAGAAAGTTTAAACCTCCTGGTTCTCAGAGGCTGTGTACTCTGAAGATAAAGTACAGAAAATCACTTTAGGAGTCCATATGTAGCATTAGAAAACACTGCATTTTTGGCACTTAGTCAACCGCTCTGACAGTCTAGGCACTGACCAGGGCTATGCAGGAGGTTAGAACAGATGTGCCCTTCTGGACCTAAGAATTCTACGCTTTGGTATTATTTATCCAAAGCTCTTCTTTTTTGAGGAGATGGTCTCTCAAACATGTTTCATTCACATTTAACTCCTCAGAAGATTTCTTTCTACAATTTCTGGCAGACATACATGAAATCCCTTCGTTACTACCAAATACACATCCATGGAGGGGATAAAAGCATAAAGTGTTAATTTTACCTTCACAGTGGCCCTTGTTGTTCTTTTTCCAGCCATAACAGCAATCCAACCTAGAACCATAGCGACAGACCCCAGGCTGGCTCACAGCCACCAGCTGCCCACGAGCTCTTGAGCTGCGTAAGGAAGGATAAACACTAACTCCAGCAGGCAAACGTACTTTAATCCACAGAATCACAGAATGTCAGGGGTTGGAAGGGACCTCGAAAGATCATCTAGTCCAGGCCCCCCGACAGAGCAGGATCACCTACAGTAGGTCACACAGGAACGCATCCAGGCGGGTTTTGAAAGTCTCCAGAGAAGGAGACTCCACAACCTCCCTGGGCAGCCTGTGCCAGGGCTCTGTCACCCTCACAGGGAAAAAGTTTTTCCCAATATTTTTGTGGAACCTCCTATGTTCCAGCTTGCATCCATTGCCCCTTGTCCTACCATTGGACCCCACTGAAAAGAGCCTGGCTCCATCCTCTTGACACTCACCCTTTACAGATTTATAAACATTAACGAGGTCACGCTTCAGCCTCCTCTTCTCCAAGCTAAAGAGACCCAGCTCCTTCAGCCTTTCCTCATGAGGGAGATGTTCCACTCCCTTCATCATCTTTGTGGCTAATCCATTGCCCCATATTCCCCTTCATACATTTCCCTTATGTTTTATCCACTGTTGGACATTTTCATTTCACTGAACCTAGGGCAGTGTTCCTAGATGGGAACGCAAAGTTGCATTTGGTTGGAGAAACAGGGGAGATGGGAACATTTCATCTGCAATAAATTAACTTTGCAACATAAATCCTTTGTAAAGAGAAACAAGGCAAAGGTTAAAAATACAGCCAGGTCCCCTGCTAGAATGCATAATTTTTAAAAACAGTGAAGTCAACGGGTCTGCTACAGCTTGTGACACGTGAAGAACCTGGATCAAATATATGACATCCTATCTGACAGCACTATTGCTTTGGTTGATGAAACACCGATTCCAAAAGAAAGCGTCTTTCTGAACATCAGTCAGCATCATAAAAGTGAGTGAGTTGAAGGCTCGTATCTACTGCATAAGTGCAAGTTGATTCCGTAAGTGCAAAATTGCATTCCGATTGCATGGGACTGTCTGACCATACAAATTAGCCTTAATTTAATCTGTCAATAAGCCCAGAGGGGAGTCAAAGTCATTGTGCAGATCAACAGCTGCAAGAGTTGGAAAACCTACAACGTAAGTTGCCAGAATTGTACATCTGATGGAAATCCACAATTGTAGAAGTCTTCTATACTCTTCTATACTCCAACAGGTGCTGTGACTCCAGTTCTCCCTCTGCTTGTTGTTACGTAAGTTCTGCATTACACATGCCTGTCCCCTTTATGAAAGTCTCTTTATCCAAAAACCCCTGTCCCCACTTCTTTTTACGGGCCAAGAGTCCAAAGAAAATACCTTATCTGCAAGTTTCATAGTAAGTGACTTGGGGTATTGATGGGGCCAATACACATCAACAAACATCCTCATGGGGCAAGAAAAATGGAAAAAATGTCAAGAGGACAGGAACTTTTGCATTTTTTAGTCTGATGGATGGTAGAGATGTTGCTTTGTTACCTTACAGCAGTGCTCTGCACAGAGCCTCCTGTGCTTGTCTGCAAGGGTTGCACTTGTATTGGAACAGTTACTGCAAATATCACTAAAGGAAGCTAGTAAAATAAATATACATATGCACTTCAAGATATGAGACATAGCTTCAGAGTTTTCTTTAGCAGCAGAACCAGTGGAAAGAGAAGGGAATTCAGAGGAAATGCATAACATCATGTATCTGAGATATCCTGAATGAAGAGATGGTTCTCGTGTCACCTGGCAAGTAAAAAGACTTCGGTGTTGGAATAAGTTGTTCTGAAGTCACCTATCCTTTGCCATCAACCCAGACATGCAGTTTGAAAGAATATACATACTGCTTCTAAGACAGAAAGTGCCCTTGAATTCACCTGGATAATAAATGTATATTCTGCTTACATCCCCGAAAATCCCCTTGAATGAAGCTGGAGAGTGTTATGACTCCCCTGGAAGATTAAAAAATGCCTAAAGCTTGAAGGATCTCATTGCTTTCCAAAAGGGGCTCATTTTCACAGGAAGACACACTCATTTGGTAACATTTTATTTAATAATTCAAATAATTCAAATCAAATAATGAAAGTGTGTTTACAAAGTATTCACATGATTTCAGTGCAGATTTGTCTTGAAACTGGTAAGTGTTCCATATAAATACAAATAAGATTAATATAGCTGCACTTTATAGATACTGCCCTAGCTGAGGTCTTTCACCTGTTCTGATTTCCAAAATGAGCACAAAGTTAAACCCTACCTTTGGCAGTGGGAAGGTCAACTAGATCATTGAAAGCATGCCTGGATCCCAAAATCTGGGAGGAACACCAGTTTTTGCCAGGTTAGTCCCTCTGACCTGCAAAGAACCACAGCTATTGCTGTCAGGAGTTCAGAATTTTGTGCAAAAGAAAGAAACTTAGAAAGAGGAGATCCTTTCAGGAAGGAAAGATCTTTTCTGGGAGAATGTCACATGGATCCTCCTGGATGCCAGGGGAAAAGTAATGCAGACTGGAGGCACAGGACATTTCTGGTCCTTCCCTATGCAATATTTGTATAGGATTTCACAGGGAGCGTGAGACTGCTATGCTAGTTGCTGCTCAGTGTGCAAAACATCCTGGTCTTGAAGAATCTGCTGTGCAGGTCAGTGGCAAGAGCTGTCTCCACATTTCTAGTGGTCAGGACCTCCTTAGCTGAAGTGACAGAAGGAAAGAGGTGGCTGTATCAGCTGTCACAAGAACACCGTGAGCAACTAGCACCATTATAAAATGGGTGGGTCCCTCAGGTGCTCCAGTCAAAACTCCAGGAGAGTTCTACTGCTGCCATACTAGGTTGTATTGCATGTAGTTCTTATTATCCATGGTGAAGAATATATAAATTATGTATGGTATATACGATGATAAAAGCTATGAAGAATGATTGAGGAATTGTAAAGGATGAGAACTTGGAAATCAAAAGCTGAGTGGGGATGTGATCCTTTCCTACTATATGTCAGGCAGTTCGAGAGAAAGAGAAGAGCTTGTTAAGAGAAAGACCAATTTAAATCAATTTGCTCTTGTGCTACTGTCCATTAATACTCTGAGTGGGGTACAAGAATATGAACACAGCTAGGAGAGGGGTGAGAGTCTTGAAGAGCACTGGAGAATCAGGAGAACAACTCCTACTGAATTTTAGGGTTCACAGCCTCTTTCACAAACTGAGGAAGACCTAATGTCATCCGTAATGATACAAACATAGGCATGAATGACATTATGTCCCATTTATTCAGCTGCTGCTGAAAAAAAAGTGTTCCGTTCTGGAGTAATACAAAGATTACGAATTCTGTCCCAGAAGTCAGACCAATGCAGAGCAAAGTATTCAAATACTGACCAGGACAAGATAAGTACGTAACTCTATACCTACTGTGGTGTGAGCAGCAGGCAAAATAAATTGGGTGTGTGATGTGAAGACAGATCTTAAACTACTACAGAGTACCTTTGACTTCTTGCAGTGATTCACTCAGTCTGATATTAAGAAAGAAAATATGTTTACAGTAAAACATGCTCAGAAAGTTCACGTGCTCCACTGATTGAGTGGTTAGATAGATCTTCCAGTGGAGCAAGGTTGATTGATAGGGTAGAACTGATATCCCCAGCAGTTTAAGGAATGGAAAATATTACAAGTACAGTAATGGGTGAAAGTGGGGGAATAAAGCACACCTGAATGTTAGGACTTGCTTGTCCAACAGACTCTCCCTGCCATCCCTTATCCCCCTTTTTTGTTGTTTCATTCTATAAAATAAGAAAATAGTTTTAAATTGCATCAGTTTCTCAAAATTAGTTTATGACCTAGGCCAAACCCAAGCTACTAAAGATGCCTGTATACCAACAGGCAGTCAAAAAATTTCAACCATAGTAACCGGGCTGATAGCTGTCCTGGACTGTAATCCTCATTAGCAACAGCTAATGTAAACAGCTAAAATTAAAAAAAAATAAAAATCCCAAAGGTGAAAACATTTCCTTCCCATGTTCTCCTGGCCAGTGATTATGAGTGGTGTAAGCCTCACTTGCAGGGAGTAATGTGACAGCGGCAGCTGCAGAGGATGAGCAAGCAAGACTTCAAAAGCTTAATTTAACCAGGTGGGTAGATCAAGTCAGGTATGGTTTGAGTTAACACATTTGTTTTCAAGTCCTACTAATCCTACCAATCTTAGGCCTTTCACCAAAGTTTCCTCTGGAAAGGAATATTCATGAGCTTTTGCCTTTTTCCTTTTTTTTTTTTTTCCTTCAAGAAACAGCTGCTGAATAGATTTAGAGCACTGTTTCCATAAGATCACAGCTGCCTGCTGCTGGAGGTGGGGAAGTTAAAATTGTATTATTAGCAGCTTTTCAAAGACAGGATATTATCCCTTTCTTTAATTTTTCTCTAAGAAAAAATCTGGACATTGTTGCTAACAAAAACCAATTAACACAAACCTCAACATTTTGATCAACTGGTATATTAAGAAGGACAAAAGGATGGTATCTCACAATTTAAAAAATTTAAATTTAACAATTTAAAAGAAATTTCTAAGAAGTCTTATTAAGAGTGTATATCATGCAGAAAAAAAATTGAATACTTTGTGAAATTAAGGCATAGGGGTTTTTTTGTTGTGGTTGGTTGGGTTTTTTTTGGTTTTGTTTGGTTTTACATGTTTATTTGATGGGCGACTTCCTTCGAGTAAGAAGTTCATCTATAGTCATATTAAATAAAACCACAAAAGTGTCAGCTATTGTCTTTTAATTACGATGTCTTAGATATCCCTTCAGCCAGTTTCAGGCACTCAACATGCAAACAGTCCTGCTTCACTGTGAATCCTCCCCAAAACACCAAATGAAGTTTAGCTTGGACTTGCAGAAATTCCTTCTTTAAGGCTTCATGTGGCCACCAAACTCATTAAAGAAAGTGCTTAGAGCAGAAAGGTTAGAGGTCCAGGTATGAAAGTTATGCTTCTAAGAGACAAAAATAATCATAATTAATTCAGTCTTTCAAAACTGATTCTAATTTTTATTATTCTCTGTTCCTCTTCCT